GTGCGCCAGAACTCGCGCCCCAGAGAAAAATTTCAATAAGAAAAACTGTTAAAAAAAATCCATCTGTCAAAAAATTTATTTTTTGATATTTGACATTTCTTATGTTTATTTAATGATAATGACGATCTTGTATATGTTTTTTTAATAGTTATTTAGCAAAGCTACAAAAATAAACCACAAACAAGATTAAACAGAGTTACAATTTAGGATACAGTTTCCTTATTTCCTCTTCTGCCTGTAGAAAAAAAACCTGGAAAATTATTTTTCCAACAGAAATAGAGTCAAAGTGCAAAATTTCTCATAACTTCGAAATTATTATAGACAGAATTTTTTTTTAACATTTTTTCCATGTTCCTGGTATCTTACCTTAAATGGCATTTTTCTCTGGGTCGCTTGTTCTGGCGCACGCGGTATAATTAGTCATTACTATGGTTCGGCGGTCGGGATTTATTTTCTCGCGATCGCCTCCCACCACGCGTAGCACAAATCGGTACAATGATGAACAGTGAATTTCGTCCGCCAAAATTCACAAATATTCCCTGTAGTCTGTGCTTTATTGTCATGATAATTGACAAATAAATACGTGTTCTCAATGAAATTTAATTAAATTCTTACTCATTTTGGACCGGATTTTCAAGCTGAAAATGAATTGTTACCATACCTCAAGCAATGTAAGACAAAGCACTTATAAAAGTAGCAAGAAACATCGAGCATTCTGTCAACAGGATAAACGTTAATCAAAATTCTGAAACAAGGTTAGAAAAACCTAAAGACTAATTTACACTTTTAATCTGTCATGGAAATTGGGCGGACGAAATTCACTGTCCGTCACTGTACAGTGAATTTCGTCCAATCACTGTGTGATTTCAGAAAAATTCACTGTAGTCTGTGCTTTATTGTCATGATAACTGACATTCATGCCAGCAGTAAGTGCGTTTAAAAAAATAAAAATTATCTCTCTTTTAATCTGTCATGGAACAAATTCACTCTCCGTCACTGTACGTAGCGTAAACTCAGACCTTGAATTTCACTAAAAATTATTAAAATAACAATTATCAAATTATGATAACAGTGAAGTGGTCCTTGACAGCTTTAGATAATTGTACGACTTTAAAAAATTAGTGGTTACATTTCAGAAATTCAGCTTGCAGACAAGTAGTGGGGGTAAATAAATCCCGACCGCCTAACAGAAGTCATTACTTCTGGGTTTAATTTCAACAAGAATTTCGATAATTTGTTTACTTTAAGCAAAAAGAATAAATGCTACGATAAATCAAGTTTCGGAATTCTCATTTTGATTAGAAAGAAATTTTAAAAGTTCTTTTCTAATGTTGGAATACTTACAATCTTTATTATCTCGGAACTTGTTTTTATTGACATTGGTTTTAGTTCAGTTCATACTCGTACTTCCTTGTCTGGAATGTTTATATGTTTCATAAATCGATACTTAATAGTATTTTCTATTTGTCATGTCTAGTTACAATCACGTTCGTAATCTGATAAAGATGGATACAGAGCTCATATTATCATTCAAGAGCGTTTTTCTTACAAATCCTTTTTTTGAGCTTGTTTATATTTTGAACAAATTCAAAATAAATAATTCAAATTACTTGTTCTGTCCATAAATGAAAAATCACAAAAAATAAAATCTCTGTTTTAATCAAGCGATATTTTTAGTTTATTTTATAAGGTTATAAGAAATGTTTTAATGCTTCATTTTAATCATTATTGTTGGTTGAATTTTGTATTCCGCGTAGGTAGTAGATGGCGTAGCAAAAACCTACAGTTTGCGTTAAGAAACTCCTTGAGTGGATCTTTTGTAATAATGATTTATCATAAAACTGCGTAGAAATACCAAATTAGGGTAGCGACATTAATTAATTAATTATAACTCTGGCGAAAACCTTATGTTTATTTATCCTAGCGATTTTCTTTACAAATGTGTGAAAAGTTTACTTTTTATTTCTCATGAAAGTACAATTTTATGATAAACCAAGAGACAGACAACAAAAGGATATTTAATCCTTGGAGAAATTCTGTTTTTTATTGGAAAATCCCTGCTTCGCGAAAATTAACATTTCTGAATTTTAATACGAAAATTTAAATAAAAAAATAGCTAACCTAAATTTACCAATGTGAGTAATAATTTGTAGAGATTACTATTTTTTTGATAAAATTGAAAAATTTTAATTCAAACAATTAAAACATCAACAATTAAATTTCTACCAACGTCATTTTATTGTAACAGAATCTGTTTTCTATTATTTTTCCTTCTCTTTTGTATTTTCACACTGTTTTCAACATAATTTATCGTGAAAAAGAAAGTGTGAAACTTGATCTCTGTAATTATAACGCCAGGAATTTAAACTATTTTAGAAGAATTTATTACGTTGTGAAAAAAAGATTAGAAGCTGAACATTTACAACTTTATTTTAGAATGTATTTATTGTTACGACTTAAAAGAAGCAACTAAAATGGAACGTTTGTAATGATAATGAACTATTTTCATTTTAAAGTTCAGCTCAGTTGTGTGAAAAATGTAAAAGTGAACTTTATCACACAATTCATGTACTATCCAGATTAAAGTCACGTTCAATTATGACAAATCATGATACAGTCATTTTTTTATCATTGTTCGGTAATTGAACCAAATTCAATTTCACGTGACACAACACAACTTATCCTTCATAAATACATAAAAATTAGCTAATCTACAATAGGTCAGTTTTGATAAAAATGTATTTGAATATTTAAATCTCACCAAAAATTTTAGCTATATGGAAGTTTTTTAGTTTCCAGAAATTATTAAAGCTAGGTCATTTGCTATTGTATTAAAATTGAAACTTCTAAACAACTGCAGTAATTAAGTTACTAGGACAAAACGTAAAGAACTGTTCCAGTTTTTTGTCACAAAGTAGTGACACTAATTTTTTTATCTGTTTAAGTAATAAGCTCTTTGTAGTCTTTGTTATCGATTGATTAACTTGGACAAATCCAATTTTTTCCATTGCACATTCCTACTTTTCAATTATAATTGCAAAACTTTTGAAAAACTGTCAAGGCTACATTATTTCCATTTCAAATAGGCATTTACTTGAAAATATTTTATAAAGAAACACTTAATAAAAGATAGAAATGTAATGGAAAAAATACATAAAATGTAAAAAAAATATTGTAAATTTTTGACACCTTCTCAGGTAAAGATTTTATGTGTTATGTGACGTGAAATAGTTAATTCAAACATTCCCTGTCACTCCTTAAACATTTTAAATGTTTATATGTGTATGTATACATAATTGATTTTAATCTTTTGAGGCCAAGAAAATAGTATAAAATAAGTGACTTTCCTTCTAACATTTAAATTCCTCGAAAATTTATACAGAGTGCGCCAGAGAAAAATGCCATATAAGGAACATGGAAAAAATGTTTAGAAAATTTTATCTATAAAAATTTCGAAGTTATGAGAGTTTAAATTTAGCACTTGGACTCTATTTCTGTTGAAAAAATAATTTTACAAGTTTTTTTGCTACATGCCATTAGAACAGGAAACAAGGAAGCTGTATCCTAAATTGTAACGTTCTTCAATGTTATTTGTGGCTTTTATTGGCAAAATTTTTGTACCTTCATTAAATAATTGTAAAAAAACACATACAAGATCATCAGTATCATTAAATAGACATTAAAAAATGCCAAATGTCAAAAAATAAATGTCAAAATTTTTTGATAGATAGAATTTTTTAAACATTTTTTTCATGTTCCTGGTGTCTTATCTTACTTGAAATTTTTCTCTGAGGCGCCAGTTCTGGCGCAGCCTGTATAATTAGGTAATTATTATTTTAAATTATCCAGATATGTAATCCCTTTTTTTGATTTACCAGAAAAGTAGCTTTAAATTCCTTATAAAATTATTATAATCACAACTGGGTGATAAATAACAAACCAATTAGTAGTTAATTACGGTGCCATTTAGAGTTTATGAATGGACGTAAATATTTAAAAATCTTACACAATATCCATAAATTGTATTCCTCGTAAAACTGGTATTCTTTCTTTACAAAAGTGAAGGGCTTATTAACCTGCCTTTTTATATTTAATAAAAAAATATTATTAATTTTTTCATTCGGGCTAATTTTTAGCAACTTTCAAGAAACAACTGTGTAAAAACCAACTACAATAACGAACTATAACATGGCTTATAATAAAATATTCAAGAAAAATAAAAATATTTTTTATTTGACATAAAATCGTCACATGTAATCTCTTTTGTACACAGTTTTCAACAATAACACAGAATTGTTTTCTTATCTAATTCAAAAAATTAGCAACTCTGTTTTGGCCATCTGTGTAAATAAAGTATCACACTTCTTGTTCTTTTTGTTAATAAAAAATAAATAGCCTACATTCTTATTACTCATGTCGTTTATTCTACTTTACCGATCATTTATTAATTTAACTGTTTTTTCTTTATCTTACTGTTTATTATTTTCCCTGGCTATAAAATTAAAATACTGACCATTCAATTTGTTTCCATTTAAAAAAAGCCCAAAACCCACTGGCAACCCACATGAATCGTGGTTTATTCAGACCACAAAATTTTAAACGGTATGCTCGAGTAAATACATACATTTAAATACCTTAAGGATGTTACATCATTTAACAACAAACCCAAGCATCTACCGTTTGTTGACAGGTTGACCCGACCTGAAGAATGTTATTTTTTCGTTTATCACATTTACTCTTTTATCGAAACGTTTTCTACAACCGAAATTTGTTGTTCTACCAATGTTTGTGTATGAAATTCTTGAAAAGTTAACACTTGACAAGGAGGCTTCTCAAGATACACGCCCTAGTTCTGTTACGAGTACACAGAAATTGATGCTTCAGAACTCTCAGAAAGAGGAATTTTCTGAATAATTTGCTTTCGATTAGTAATAAAACTTAATTTTTGCATTATTTTATAGAATTTTTATAATTTGCTATTCCAAGAATGCTGAACTCACCTAATCCGTTTCTAAAACCTCACCACGCACTCAAAACCGTTCAAATAATCCCTTCTGAGTATGAAATCATAATTACACACAAGTTTTAAGTAAGTAATTTAGTCTTTTTTATTCACAATACTGTATATTTATGGATTGTTTCCACGTTTTAATTGTTTACAATTTGGAACTGAACTCTGATAGTTGCAAACTGACAGATTTTGACATCATCGACAAACGGAACGAATATTTTGGGAGGGGATAGAGTAGTGTGAGAAAAATGACTTACCGTTTCAGTTTATGTGGCGACATCTGTACCTTGAAAGTTATACGAAACAGAATTATTGATTGTGTAATGTTGGTTGCCTATGCTATTTAAAAAAAAAAATTCTTCAGATAAAGATGGGATTTATAAGCTCGAACAAAAAAGAGTAAGCGTACAACAAAAAAGATGTTTGAAACCCATAAAATCTTCTGCATGTGAAAAAGTTGTTGAAAGATGAAGATTATTATCGCACGACAGAAATGTACAGTTGCGGAATTAAAATTTCGGGCAGTATTTTTCTGTCACTTTAAAAAGTTCACGTAAACTACCTTTTACTGTCATTATGACTGACATTGACAATTAAACGTTTTTTTTTGTTAAAATTGTTAATTAAACAATTTGTCTGTCTTAGGAAATTTATTAATTGAACTAAGTGTAATTAAATCATCGCTTTGATCTGCTGCCCACCCGTTATTATACATACCACAAATCACTATTTTTGAAAGTAAATATGTCAAAATGACAAGAGTTTACATTATGAAAGTGACAATACTGCCCGAAATTTTAATTCCGTAACTATACAATTGCGGCCTTTGAAAACTAAAACATTAACTTTTGGCATAGTATTTGCTATTTCAAAATTTGTATACTGTAAATAAGGTTTTCATCAAGGATGACAATGTTAGTTTTAATTTTTCAAATTATTAGAATGGTGTTACAATAAAATACTGTAGTTATTTCTGTCTACAAAACTTAAATTCATTGTTTTGAAGTAGTTTTCTACTCTCCGACACTGATTCGTAACATTTGAATGACATTTTACAAACTTCAGTTTTAAGGTATTTTACAGCAACAAAATTTTGGATTTGTCAAAGTGTCTTAGTTTTCAACGGCCGCAACTGTATGTTCAACGACGAGAATAGTATATTAAATACCGAGGTGGAAAGTGTTTCATTTCTGTCGAAAGGTTAGAAAGTTTACCGAGCCCCTTGCTTATCTTGAGATAGAAATGAAACTTTCCACCGAGGTTTGTATACAATTTTATTCACAACCGCATCTGAATTTACGTTGAACAAACATGTTTCTTGAATAGTTTTCGTTAAGATTTTTCTTAAAAATTATGAAAATAATTATTAAAATGACTGAAAAGAACATGCAGAAGTGAAACTTACTTTAAATAAAAATTTGGATAATCAAATATTGAATTAATTGAAGAGAATGTAGATAAGTAGGAGCCTTAATGTTTTTTGTTCAATGTCAACTGAAAATATAATCCATTTCATTGAAATGGGCATAACAGTAGGCCATGATTGTGTAAACCGCGCTTTAAATGTGAAAAAGGCTTTAAATATTAAGGAACTAAATTTGTCACTAAAAAAAGTGAGATAGTTAAAATTTTATTTTTAAAGAACCCTCTTTCAGAAATCGTTTTTTCCATAAAAAGTTTAACACCCTCTTTCATCCCTTTCTAGGTGAAGTTTTAACACCAAAAACAAACACTATTTGCTTTAGAGAAAATGATTTGGCTTTATTCAAATTGGTATATTTGATTCCATTAACCTAAAACAAGAACAACAAAAAGAAATTGATTATGTTTTCAAACATACCTTAGCTTGTATACTAAATCTGGGGTTCTGAAAAAAACTAAAATACTTTTAATTATAATTTGAAAAAATACTGGGAATAACGAACAAGCAACGAAAACAGTGAAAAAACGAATACAAATGTCAGTCATGTCAGTTATGACAGAAACAAAAACTCCATTTGCTGTTATAACAGGGGGACATGCGCAGGACTACAAACTTAAATATGAAACTCACTAGCCAACCATTATGCCAATTCAATGAAATCTACTACATATAGTCGTTTTTCAGTCTTATTATTCAGAAATAATTTCAAGAATTTTTGCTACTAAACAGAGCTGAAGGTACTTTCTAGTCAAACCGGAAATGATCTTATTTGTTTTACATAAAAAAAAATGCGAAAAACTGGAATCAGTACTCGAAGGCTCAAACCAGGGGTGCTGCAAACTCCATAATTTTGTTCATACACAGGATGTCACAAAATAACGTTAGGTGCTAATCAATGGTACGATGAATATGCAGCTATTTTGTAAAGAGTGCTAAACACACGGTGTAACTTTTGTAAGAATCAATATTTTTACTCTAAATTTATATTAATTAGACATATCGCAAATATACATAAATAATAAAGAAAAGGTCATCAATTCCAAATTGTTCTTTATTAATGTGCATTCCAGGCCCAAAAATATGAAGACAAATAATCATAACTAAATTGTCCTCTACCTTCAGCTCTCTCATTATAAAATCTCATCCAAGTAACTGACGACTTGAACACTTTCTTCCGTGCAACTCTACAATGCATTGTCCATAAAAAGGCAAAAATTATGACTGTAGCAATAAACAACGAATATATGAACCACATTATAACAACTTGAGTGAAATCATAGTTTTGATCACCAGTCAATGTATTAGACGGTCTTTTAATTAAAATTATGAGCAAAACAAAAATTAAAATTGTTAATAAGGCAAAAATACAAAATTTTAGATTCAAGTTGTTTTTGTCTTTCTGAATCAAGTTCATGTCTCTAAAATACTGATTCAAACCATAAATGAAAAGTATACCCAAAACAAACAAACTAGAAAGAGGAATCACAGTAATCCAAATGGGGAAGGAACCCAAGAAAACAGCTTGATACAAACCATTGTCACAACAAAAACAAAAACTCAGCACAGCAAAGCCACCACAAACTAGAAAATTGATACAGGGACGAAATTGAGATAAATAAACAAAGTTGTCGTAAATGGCGGTCATTATAGCCTCAAGGATAGCAATTTGTGTCCCAATAAGAATAAAAAACAGCATAAGGAAAAAAGTCATACACCAAAATTGGCTTCCTGGTAAAGTTGCAAACGCTTCCGAATACATTATGTAAACCATCTCGATGGTGTTCTCTGGTAATCGTTTAAGAAAATCCTTAGAACCACAAGAATACCTAACCATAAACGAGAAAAACAAGAAGAAAAAAATCAAAGAATGTAAATAGTTCATTGAGCAAAGAATGAGCGAATCGGTCTGATAAACATTACGAAAATGGCAATAGGAACCATAAGTTATCGGAATACCATAACATAACCCCAATTCAACAATAACTTGCATAGTTGCCACACACCACATATCCAAATTCCACCAACTCACCGATTGTCTAACTCCTGAAAGAATTTCCGTAAATTTTCCAAACTGTTTCAACTGAAGCGCCACAATAATCAGCATTAAAAGTGTAAAATAGGAAAAGATAATTATAAAAATGCAAATCTTTCCAATTGAACGAGCACTTCGAAGAATAGCAACATAACAAACAACCCAAGAAAAAACTAAAGAAATAACCAACCACCACTTTATCGATCCCATTGACCACACGTCTCGCGACTTATCATTGGTGTCAATAACAACATTGTAGAAATACTCCTGGGATGATAAATTGATATTATGGGAGATGTACCATGATGGAGGTGCGCACGCATGAGTGTGATTTTCTTCCACTTCGCAGTAAGTCCAAGGAAGAATCGAATGGAAGCAATGGGAAAAATAGATGAGAGAATAAGCAGCGAAAATGTTGTGATACAAAGCGACAAGAGCGCACGCGAGAACCATCGCAACACCGACTCCACAGCAAAAAGGGGCACATTCCCACACCCATAAGACACCACGTTGGCTATATTGACCTAGTGAAGACTGTAGGACGTGCAGAGGGTAGCCAACAAATATTGTGACGACAGTGTAAGGGATGAAGAAGTTTCCTCCAAAGCTGAAACAATGTTTTGGGAAATGAAATTGACAAGAGGATCGGTGAAATACCGATAAATGTTCATGGGGAAATGGTACGCATTGTTTAGAGAAAGAGTGAAGGCCATGAAAGCTACCACGTAGGTTATTCTGTTCCTCCAATGCAATCTTATGTACTTGACCTATAAAGTACAAAAATCAAATTCTGTTTAAGATTGGACATTGTAGCTTACTTCTTCTAATTTTTCTTCTAATCTTTTGGCTTCAACTTTTTTGACTTCAGATTTTTGAAAGATTTTTTCCTGCTCCTGTTCTTCAATAACTTTCTAAATGGTCAAGTCAATGGCTGCGTTACGATAGTAAATGTTAAGCTTACCCTTGGAGGTTGTTCTGGAAAAAAACTAAAAGAATGATGTTTAAAAAAAAGATTCATCATCAATTTAACTCAAAATATGGCAGATTTTAGATGATTATGGTACCTAAATATTTTTTTAAGTCTTTCTTGGCGAATGAGTTTTGTGAAAATATTGCGTTCAATCTCTAATAACGTAGGTATTTACCTTACAATGTAGCCATAAATTATTTTTTGTCTACAGGGTGTTCGTTATTCGAGCTCTATCCTGAGGATCTCAGTTATTATAAGAGATACTAGGTCGGTTAAATTAGGGCAAAATTGCGCATTTTTATGCTGAATAATATTCTGAAAGAAATTTTAATCTGTCATTTTTAGTTTTGGAATTATTGGTAAAAACGGAAATTTGTAACTTTTGTTTTTATTTTTTCAAGCAAAAACTATAAGACCTAGACTAAACTAGGATATTTTAAAGGCAGTTTTTTACAAGGAATCTAAATCTGTTATCGTATTTTCCAAGGTGCTCTTTATATCAAAGTTACAACACTCAACTTTAGATTTTCTTATTTGAAAAGTATTTTTGTTCCTGATTACAACGATGTATCACACAATATGATCAAATTTTACAGGCTGATTAAAATTTCAAAAAAGCGTTTTTGCGAAGAGTGCTTTGAAAAAAACACCAACAATTTTAATTAACAAACTATATTTTGACGGTTCAGTTGACTTTGGATCTGGAAGTCACATTTCCGCCAAGCTAACCTTCTTAAAAACTAAGATTTTGAAATAGGAACAACGTGATAAACTAGAATTTATTCTTCGCAAAACAAAACAACACAAAGTTATAAAAGATGCTCGAATGCACCACCTTCAAAATTTGGTTTGTTAATTAAAATTGGTGGCATTTTTTCCAAAGCACTCTTCGCAAAAACGCTTATTCTTAATTTTGATCAGCATGTAAAATTTGATCATATCGTGTGATACATCGTTGTAATCAAAAACAAAAAAACTTTTAATAAACATAGAAATCAAATATGGCGACCAAAAGAAAATCCAAAGTTGAGTGTTGTAACTCTGATATCAAGAGCGCCTTGGAAAATACGATGACAGATTTAGATTCCTTGTAAGAAAGTGCCTTAAGAACGTCCTAGTTAAAAATGTCTAGGTCTTTTTAGTTTTCGCTTGAAAAAATAAAAATGAAAATTACAAATTTCCGTTTTTTTTTCCAATAATTCAAAAACTAATAATGATACATTAAATTTTCTGCGCAACTTTGCCCTAATTTAACCGACCTCTTATCTCTTATAATAACTGAGATCCCCATGGTGGAACTCAAAAAACGAACACACTGTATGCAAGTTTACGTTATTCATAGTTTTTTTCTTATGAATGAATGTAAATATGGTTATAGGCAGAAAAGAGTTTTCAGCCTTAACTTATTTTTAATTTTAACTCGGAAATGACGTCTTTTTGGCAAAAGTTGGAGATTGAAAAGTTGTTATATTTGCTAGTTATTCCCAAACACCCCGTTTAAAATCAAAATGTTACTAAAAATAAAACATTCAATATTATAGTTGTCGCTGAAAAGTTAGTATTCTTTTCAAATTAGTAAGTAATAAATAATATTAAAGACAATAAATGCATATTTTAATTAATCTATTGGTTTATTTTTGAAATTAAAACATATTTATCCAATTTATTAACATTATGTTGTCATAAAACTGCCGAAAACGTGATTCTTATTAATTTTCAAAGGGGACACAGAAAATTTTCAACAGGTAAGTAACACTAAATTTCACTTAGTTTTTTAGAAATGAATGAAAAACTATACAAGTAAATAATAGAGCAAGACTCATTCTTTTTTGTCGGTAACACTTTCTATTTATGCTTTTAAAAAGTTTAGAGATTACTTGTTATTATTTCTACTTCTTCGTTCAAGTCGTAACATGTAACTAACTGTTAAATATGTACACATATCTCGTTCTCGAGGGCTACCATCTGTACATTATATTGTCGAATTAATTTTTTTTAACTTTAATTTTTAGTGAAAATACAAAGTGGATATTTATTCTAAAATAAAGGAAGTATAGTACAGCCTTCACTTTCTATTACAATATAAGAACGGGTTAGACCGCGTCAATTCAGAAGAAAAGGTCGTCGTTTCGCCCGCTAAGGGGCATCTTCAGGACAAGAAAAGGGGAGAAAAGGCCTAACCATATCTGAACGGTACTAGAGGCAAACCATAACTGCCGAAAAATGAAGTAACAGCGGTATTTATAGACGAATAGGAGGGGATGACGTGTGATGTGGTGAAGATGGGGATAGTCGTTACGTGATTGGCTGGAAGTGGGGGATCGCGTTATTTCAGATACTTTTCTTGTCCTGAAGATGCCCCTTACAAGAGCGACCTTTTCTTCTAAATTTATGCAGTCTAACCCAAAAACACTAGATTTCTATTACAATAATTTAAAAATGATACGTTTTCACTCAACTAATAGACAGTTATAGGTAAAACTCATACTCACCAAACAGCGTATCCCTGCGAAGATAAAGTTTTTGCTGACACCCCAACAATTCTACTTCTTGGTTTCGAATCCATAACTTGCATCTTTTATTACTGCAGAATTATTATGTCATACAAAGTGAATTAATGTCATTGTGTCATTATTTAGTGCCTTCTACGATTTGTTCAACGAGAAAGAATAAAAAATTGCAATATCAAATGTTACATTTATTGTGTAAAACTGACAAATTTAAAAAATAAACAAGTATAGATAAAAAAGGCAAGAACCACATATTTTCAATCTTCGAACACATTAATTTAATTCGTCCCAATTTCAGCTCCTTGTCCCCATTCCTGTTGACTTCGTCCCAATATAGAATAATCTTTGGTGTTAGGTAATCCACTAATAACGCAAGCACTCAAAGCCGATCTGTTCAAATTCATTGGTGAAGCATCATACCAGTCATCAGCTTCCGGATCGTAATACTCCACAAAGTTGATAGTCGAGGAACCTGACACGAAGTTGTCTAGAAATTGTACCAGGAATTGCAAGAAGAAAGCAACTCAGCAAAATTTGATATCCAAGGGATATCAAATTTTGTTGCAGTCCCTCACTCACCATTGAACCCTCCTATGACATAGATGTAGTCATCTAAGATAACCGTAGCAAAATTACTGCGAGGTGTCATCATCTCCGATATTTCCGTCCACCATGGAGACTCTCCGGGAATGTATTTCTCACCACTTGTGAGTCTCACGTAACCGTTAAAACCCCCCAGTGCATACAAAGTGTTATCGTAAACCACCAATGAAACTCCGGATCGCGCCGATATCATTTGAGGGATGTAAGACCATTGGTTTGTCTTTATGTCGAAAACTTCAGCTGATCGCATCACTTCCTGGCCATTGAAGCCCCCAACTATGTAAATCTGCAAACATCTTAATTAAATGCAGTGGAGGATTACCCATTCGGTATCTTTTTTTCACAAGAAAAGTTTAACAAAACTTAAAAAGCAAACTAGTAAAAGCTTCTTAACGAACGCCGGCCGTCATCACATCTATTAAACCGGCCTCCAGTTGTTAAGATTACTAAGAATGCCGTAACTACAAACTTTAACAAAACTAAAAAATTAAGTTACTGTAAAAGCTTCATAACGGCCGTTATCACAGCTATTATAACGGCCACCGATTGTTAAGGATTAGAAGTTTTTTTTTTTTGTAATACCATAACACTATTCGTAAGAAAATTTAATTAGCAATCAATTGTAAAAGCTTCAGAGACACCGTTCGTTATCACAACCTTCGGTTGTTAAGAATCACAACTTTTACGTCTCCAAGTGTTAGTGTTGGTTTTCTAAAGTTTTTTTTATATTAATTACAAAAAAATTAAATTTGGAACTTTAACAGAATAAAAAATTGCCAACTCACATTATAATTTATAAATAACACCAACTTACAAATTTATGGTCCGAATCCCGGACACGAACCCGAACCAAATGATTTTCCTTCATAATAAAACGTAGATTAAACAAAGCTTTTTGTAAAATTTATTTTTTCTTTTTAATTTAATTAGAAATAGCATAGGCTACCTATTCATAAGAATAATGTTTAACTACAAAGTTTAACAAAACTTAAAAAGCAAACTAGTAAAAGCCTCTTAACGAACGCCGGCCGTCATCACATCTATTAAACCGGCCTCCAGTTGTTAAGAATTACAAGATCAAGCTACCCTTTTCTTGTAATGCCGTAACTACTAAGTTTAACAAAAATAAAAAATGAAACTATTGTGAAAGCTTCATAATGGCCGTTATCACAGCTATTATAACGGCCACCAGTTGTTAAAAATTAGAAGTTTATTTTTTTTGTAAAACCATAACACTATTCGTAAGAAAATTTAAATAGCAATCAATTGTAAATGCTTCATAGACGCCGTTCGTTTTCACAACCTTCGGTTGTTAAGAATCACAAGTTTTACGTCTCCAAGTGTTAGTGTTAGTTTTCTAAAGTTTTTTTTTTATATTAATTACAAAAATAAATAAATTTGGAACTTTAACAGAATAAAAAATTGACAACTCATTTTACGATTTATAAATAACACCAACTTACAAATTTATGGTCCGAATTCCGACACGAACCCGAACCAAATGTTTTTTCTTCGTATTAAAACGTAGATTAAACAAAGCTTTTTGTAAAACAGTTTTTTTTCTTTTTAATTTAATTAGAAAGATTATATCCTAACTATTCATAAGGATAATGTTTAACTACAAAGTTTATCGAAACTAAAAAGTCAAACTATTGTAAAAGCTTTGACGGCCGCCGGCCTTTATTACAGCTATTATAATAGCTACCGGTTACAAGTTCAAGTTATACTTTTTGTAATACTATAACACTCTTTGTAAGAAAGTTAGCAAAATTTAAATAGGCAAACAATTATTGTAAAAGTTTCATAGATCCGGTGCGTTATTACATTTATACACCTATAATATTATAACGGCCTACGATTGTTAATTGTTGTTAAATCAAATTAAGTTAATTGCGATTAACTTCAAAATTCTGAAATTTAATTGGTCGTGCATCAAAATTCAACCATTCATGCAACGATTTAAATTTAACTGCAAGGCTTCTATAAATCCATCTTAAGTTATCTTTTTTTGTAATACCATGACACTATTCATAAATATAATGTTAAACTACTATTCATAAGAACAGTGTTAAATATAACACTAAAAAATAAACTATTGTAAAAGGTTTATAACGGAGGCTGGCCGTTATCACCGCTATTATAACGGCCTCCGGTTGTTGAAAATTACAAGTTCAAGTTATTTTTTTTTGTAATGCCGTAACTACAAAGTTTAACAAAACTAAAAAAATAAACTATTGTAAAAGCTTCATAACGGCCGTTATCACAGCTATTATAACGGCCACCGGTTGTTAAGAATTAGAAGTTTATTTTTCTTTGTAAAACCATAACACTATTCGTAAGAAAATTTAAATAGCAATCAATTGTAAATGCTTCATAGACGCCGTTCGTTATCACAACCTTAAGAATCACAAGTTTTACATCACCAAGTGTTAGTGTTGGCTTTTTAAAGTTTTTTTTTTATATTAATTACAAAAAAAATTAAATTTGGAACTTTAACAGAATAAAAAATTGTCAAATCATTTTATGATTTATAAATAACACCAACTTACAAATGTATGGTCCGAATCCCGACGCGACTATAATGTTAAAGTACTATTCATAAGAACAGTGTTAAATATAACACTAAAAAATAAACTATTGTAAAAGATTTATAACGGAAGCTGGCCGTTATCACAGCTATTATAACGGCGTCCGGTTCTTGAAAATTACAAGTTCAAGTTTCTAAAGTTTCACTTTTATACAGGATGCGCCAGAACTCGCGCCCCTGTGAAAAATGCCATATAAGGCAAGATACCAGGAACAAGAAAAAAATGTAAAAAAAAATTATCTATAAAAAAAAATTCGAAGTTATAAGAGTTTAAATTTTACACTTTGACTCTATTCATTTCAAAAGAAAAAATAATTTTCCAAGTTTTTTTGCTACAGGCTATTAGAAGAGGAAACAAGGAAGCTCTATCCTAAATTGTAACTCTGTTTAATGTTATTTGTGGCTTTTATTGACAAATTTTTTCTACCTTTACTAAATGATTGTAAAAAAAAACATATACAAGATCGTCAGTATCATTAAATGTCAAAATTTTTTGACAGATAGAATTTTTCAAACTTTTTTCATGTTCTTGGTATCTTACCTTATATGGCATTTTTCTCTGAGGCGCGATTTCTGGCGCACCCTGTATAGGGTTATTCATAAATATGAAGCAATATTTCAACCTCAAAAATGACCTATAAAATGATGTTAATTTAAATAATTATTTATTATTATTAAGGTATTAAAGGTTATGCGTTTTTTATTCAAAATTGATTACTCTATTGTTTTGACTAAACAACAATTAATATTAAGAGGCCAAAAAAAAAAACGCAAAAACACAAAAAATATGACCTGCAATGGCTGGAACCGGAAATTAAGTAGATGTGTCCGGTTTTCGTAATTACTAGTTTAAAAGGTATGTTCTCACAAGTAACCATTCCAAATTTTATAATATTTGGTCAAATGGTTCCAAAGTTATTACAAAAAAAACAAATTTCCGTAAAATTCTTATCACTAGAGATAGGACACGAGTTACTATTTAAATTAACATCATTTTATAGCTCATTTTTGAGGTTCAAATATTGCTTTATATTTATATTATTACGAAAAAAATTGAATTTGAAACTTTAACAGAATAATGAGTACCAACTTTTTCGTTTAGAGTGGCAGCACTGGCATCCGACCTTTGCTTCTGCATCGGGGGAATCATCTCCCATTGATTTTTCATTGAGTCATATCTTTCGGCTGTGTTCATCCTGTTTCTCCCATTATACCCTCCCATTGCATATATCTTGCCATCGGCCATTACAACACTCACATAACACCGATGATGGTACATACATGCACATTCGCTCCACGTATGGTTCACTGGATCAAATCGCCGAACTGTGTTGAAATATTGGTTCCCATCAAAGCCTCCAATCACATAAATGATCCCATTTAAGGTACACAACCCATGATAAGCTCTAGGAAAGGAATCTGTGTCTGAAGAGAGGAGCCATCGATCAGCTCGAATATCATAAGTTTCGACAAAATTCGTCGGACTTCCTGCACTCCAACCCCCAATTGCGAAAAGAACATCGTAGGAGATTCTAGGACGAAACAGGATATTGTTAACATCGACTTTCCCTGGATAAGCGACAAGTTCAGTCTGAACAACAACTTTTTCCATGTACTCTTTACATTCAGGTTTTTCTTCAACTAATTGGTGTTTGGATATTATAAGAATATTCTCCCTCAACATATTTCCAAATCTGATACACCTCAGCAAGTCAAAGAAGTGAATTTTCCGACTGTTTGGACAAAAATTGATCCACTTCATAATGGCATCAAAAACAATTTCCTCATGTTTTATATTCAATTCATCGTCAGATATGATCTCCTTGAGTTCGTTCTTGTCCAGATGGACAAATTCGCTGCTTTCGGCCAAAACTTTGGCAAAGTTATGTTTGACAAATCTTTGTCCTCGCTTCACCAAATCGCTGCAGAAATACTGATTGGCAAAGTGCAAAATCCCCAAGCAATTCGTCGGACTTAATTCATCTGCGGTGGGGATAATTAAACCTGTGATTGAGCTCAGGGCCGCCACAAGCACGCGGACGCCAGAGTTGAGGGGGCGACAAAACAAAATTTAATAAAAAAAGACATTTTGAATTTTGCAATGAACAAAAAAAAACTGCAAGAGAAATACAACCAAACAAAAAAAAACAAAACGTTATGTGAAAAAACTAGTCATGTGGCCGTTTCCTGTTATAGAGATTAGAGCACGATGTTTGGAAACGTCTCTGTTAACATTTTCTTAAATCTAAGCATTTTTTTAATAGATTTTTAAATGTTTTTTTGCAACTCTAGAAATTTTTTAAACCAATACATATGACACTTTCTTAGTCTTCCCAACTGTCTTTTGTAGCACGATGTTTTCAACCGTCTCAAATGACATTTTTGCTATTAAATTTAAATATTACCGTAAGAATTTTTCTCCTTTTGAAAATCTTAGTCAGTACATTTAACACTTTCTTTTTACTTCAAGCCAAAGAAATCCGAAGTAACCCGAAGTGGCCTAAAGTGACCTGAACCGACCTGAAGCTACTCGAAGTGACCCAAACATTATTTATTAATCTTACAAAGACAATTTACTAAATAAAAATGAAACTCTTAATCAAATCGATATAAGCAAAAAAACAAAAAAAGACATCTTTTGACTTGATTTTTGATTTGATTTTTGTAGTATTACAATTAAACAAATATCTTGGTACCATTTTTTAAAATTTTTAATCCTATTTTAGTTATACCTACGTTTAGATGAAAGCTTCGAAAACGTAATGACTGAAGCAAACAAAATTGGTGACGAACTTAATGTAGAACCAAATTTTCCGATGAAACTGTACGCCCAAAAGGCAAGCCAAAACTCTTTGTTTACGAACATCAAGACGAAGTTGTGCTAGATGCAAAAAATAATTTCAAAATTAACTTTTCTACAGGAATTTGAATCAAGTTTTGTCTTCTTTAAATAATAGGTTTGAAAAACTAAATACATTTAATGATACATTTGGATTTATTGACAATATGTCTAATTCTTCGGAAGAAGAATTATTAAAAAATTTCAAAGACTGTTGTTGAAGACAAGGAGCAAAATCGTCCTAGGAAAAGATTGATTTCCTTAAAGCTTTAAAAATACATTTTATCGAACAAACTATGCAAGAACCTTAAAATATTTTACAATATCTTTTTGAAAACAATTTAATTTCTACTTTTCCTAATACAGAAATTACATTAGGAATTTTACTTTCCTTGCCAGTTTCAGTTTTGTCTGACCAAAGATCTTTTCTAAATTAAAAATCATTAAAAATTATTTAAGATTTACCATAGTTCAGTCTAAGTTAAGCAACTTATCTATTATTTGCAATTGAACAAGAGCTGTTAGATAATTCAAATATAGAGGAGCTGATTACAGAGTTTGCAAGTATGAAAGTGAGGAAAATACAATTTCTTTAAGGATTTATAGTTTCAATGATGTTATGTTTTATTTTCTTATTTGCGTTTTTAAAATCACAAATTTAATTAATTTTGATTAAATAATTTTTTTATTTTGTTTTATTTATTGGCACTTATACAGGCTGTCCCAACGGTCCGAAAAAGCTTTATAACTTGTTTATGTTAGGAGATACTAACTTTTTCTTTTTTTTTTAGATTATAGTTGCGTTTCTGCTGCATATTTTAAAAATATTGCGGTCTATATACAGGCTGTCCCAATATTAAAAAAACACTAAAGTTATGTTTTTTTAAATGGAATCTACTCAGTTTGATTTTATTTTTGGATTCTACGCTCTATTACAAATAACTTTTATACAGGTTGTTTTCATTTATCTGTTATCAATTTTGATTTGTGGCGCTTTTTTACCAGAATTTTTTAAATGCAGGGGTCTGTCTAAAAATTCGTATTTTCTAAATGCTTGCACACAAGTTTAAAGTAAGTAACGCCGTTTGATTCCTGAATGTTTGCCGCATCTTTTAAGTGTTTACTCAACAACCTGGTCAGTGGCATGTGCCTACTGCGATTTTTTAACATGACAAATTAAAAATGTCAAAAACTAATTTTTTTCAAATGGCACCCTCTATTTATTATTGTACCAATCAAAAGATCTTTTGACAAGCTTTCCATCAATATAAGGTTTAATAGGTTTTAAAAAACATAACTATAGTGTTTTTTTAATATTGGGACAGCCTGTATACAGGGTGATGAAAAAAAAGCGCCCAAACAGGCGCGTCCTTTTTTATTGTGACCTTCATACCAAAAATAGTCTAAATAGATTCTTTCTGAAATTTAAACAGTTTGTCTAACAGCACAAAGCGGCAATATTGCACAATTTTCTTTTACTAAAAAACTATTTCACTCAGGTATTTTTCGTATCTAGGAAAGATATTGTCACCCGCATAAAATAAAAAAAATAAAAAATACGACCGAAAGGTATCTAATGATTTCAATTAATTTTTTTAGTCTTTGACTTTTTGACTTGAATCGTTCAAATTTCACAGAACAAACAACATTGAAAATTGATTTTTTTGTTGCTACCGTTTCCAATAATTGAATATTACTTGGACATTTTCTGTATCCTAGGATATTTGCAATATTGCAACATTGATAAATTTTCTTTGGAGCCAAGAAATGGTATCCTATCATCTTCAATAAAGTTTATTTCCATAGACTTTTTGCACATTTTTTTAAGAACACCGTCAACTGTATCAAAATCTAGACTTTAACAATAAAATTATTTTAAAACTGTTAATTATATAGATTTCTCTTTTCTAAAAAGGAAAGTCTATAACTTACTGAAAAGAGCACAAATCCAATTTTGGTCTTCGAATTCGTCTTTAATAAAAGATCACTTATAACGTGTGGGTTAACACGGGTGCCTTTTTTTCATCATACTGTATAAACCGCAATGTTTTTAAAATGTGCAGCAGAAACGCAACTATAATCAAAATTGATAACAGATAAATGAAAACAACCTGCATAAAAGTTATTTGTAATTTAGTGTAGAATCCAAAAATAAAATCAAAGTAGATTCCATTTAAAAAAACATAACTTGTAATAAAATAAGTATACCCATATTTTCTTAAAAAATTAACAAGGGGCGTCAAATTCAAATGTGCACGCGGGCGTCAAAACCTCTAGCGGCGGCCCTGATTGAGCTGTCAAGACCACATACCCAGCAAATACCTGCAGCACATTTGGACCACTCCGAGGATCTCATATCTGTCGGCAAACTTGAGCAAGTTCTCCACGTTCGAGGAGCTTATCGAGCAACTCCCCGTGTAGGCAAAGTCCAGGAGCAGTGCGAAAATTTTCCCCGGGATGCTCACGTTGGCCTCGTAGGTTTCGGGCTGGCCGCGATTGATCGAGTTGGTGAAAAGGGCTCGAAAGTAGGGGCTGGCGGCCGAGAGGATGGCTCGGTGGATTTTGAATTCGGTGCCGTCGACACAGTGGACGATCCCGTCGCAAAGCTGGTTTTTGAGACGCAGTTCTTTCCAAATTCGGGGAAATTCGAAGGTGCTAAGCTGCATCGGCATACACACACACTTGTCGTTCTTTCTGCAATTCTGTTGTTTTCGCTTCTTGCATGATTTTTTTGAATTTGTCAACTTTATTTTTGTTTTTGAGGGAACGCGTCGAAGCTGCATTGTAAAATCCATTTCAATGTGGTTCACTGTCTTAGGGGAGTTTGTATATTTTCAAAATTGATTAATGTGTGACATTTACTGGATACTTCAATTTATTTCAAAGCCACTATTATAATTTTACAACTTGTACTTAAACGTACTGGCATACAGGGTAAATCAAAAGTGTAGAACTAAACGTTTTTTGCTTAAAACTATTTATTTATTGAAAAAACTAATTAATTATAGATAAGGTTGTACTATAAAAAAGCGACGTTTTATCAAGAATTTGTTTTTTTTTAATTTTCTTTTGTTTTTGAGTTCTGAAAAATTTTTAATTTTTTAAAATGCCAATGGCAACCCACAATAAAACATTCTTTTTACAAAGGCGATAACACAGGGCGACAAAAAAAAGTCATGTCATGACAACTTGACAAATTATATATCATTTTGTTCGTCTCAGTGAGACAAATCATCTGCACTAAAAAAAATTTAAAAAGTCCACACACTTTGAACTAAATATTTTTTTCTAATTTAAATTAATTTAAAATACTTTAACTTTAAAAAATCATTACTCAATAACTATTAGGTCGATTTCCTTCAAATAAAGTCCATTCTAAAGGAATAAAATGATATGAAATGTGAAATTAAATATTTGCGAACTTTTTTTCGAACAGTGTTCGAAAAAGTTCGAAGTAAATCGAAATAATGTAAGAAAAACCCTACGAATTTTTTTTTTCATCATCGCCATCGTGTAGAGCATCTCTTTATTAGTTATAATCCAATTTTTTTTAAATATACCGAGTAATTTTCAAGATATGATTTTTTGAAATTAAGGTTTGCTAATCAAGCATTGCGCCATATAGGAAAAATGCATGATAATCTTACTTTAAATTGCATTTTTATAAAAGTATTTGTTTTACGACTCTTCTTTTGCTTAAAAATGGTCAATTTCACCTCCTTTTTTCTAATTAGAATAAACAAAAACTGTTTGTTTACTAAAAACAAACAAAGAGTATCTGCGTATTAATTAAAGCAAATTAATAGTTTTTTTTCTTCTAAAAATGACCACTGATCATTGAGCAAAGAGGATCTAGAAGTTGAAGGCAAATTAATTTTTATTACTTATTTTTTTTCTGAAAACAAAGGATTTAAAAAAAACGCTTGGTTCCATACTTTTTATTCACTTTGTATGTATACACAGTGGATCGTTCATTGTTATTAAAATGTTTACTAAATACTCAACAATAATTGTTATAAGTAGATTCCGTAGAAATCCTACTTACTGCAGAGAGCCTCTTACAGAATTTACAGAACTTCTGATCATCTTCATAGGACGAAACGTGTGAGCTTGCAGCATGTAACATTCAAATTAAAATTAAACGAGTATTTTAGTTAAATATCTCGATAGGGTAAATAATTATATTTATTAGTTTTATCCAACTTTTGTTCGAGTTAGGATTACGCTTTAATATTACATGTTCAGCTTATAAGAATTTCTAAAATTCATCCTAATTCAGTTCTTAACTTACCTACTTAAAGGTATTTCACTAGATTAAAAGATATGGTTTCTTTTAAAAAAATATTTGCCAAATATTTGACAACACCAGAACCTTTACAAAAACTTCCATCATGATGAAAAAAGTACGCTTCTTGTTATTTTTTAGCCATCACTGATGTCCCAAAAATAAGTTACGATATAAACTTTTGTTTTTTTTAAATGAAACACCGTATGTTTTTTTGCAATTTGGGATGTAGCCTTTTAAAACAATGTGTTTACGCTAAACTTTTTTTATTAGTCGATTTCGCTTAGTTTTAGAAATAAGACGTTTTTTTTTGACGAAAACATACACTTTTTAAAAATTTATTACACAAAAACTAAGACAGCTAGAACAAATTTTTTTCTTACTTTTGCAAATAAAAGAGTACAGAATTTAAAGCTGTAGCAATTTTGTTGTATTTTGCATTTGTAAAGATTAATAAATTAAAAAGTTTGTTAAAAGGTAAATAACTTTAAAAAATTAAATGGAACATACTATTTTTTATTTTCGCATCTAACAGATTGATAAATTGTCTATTTAAAAAAAAATAAACTTTTAATGTCTATAATTGATAAATGAATTAATTGTAGCAACAATGCCTATCAATATCTGAGCATTGTTAATACTATGGCTACCATAGTAATTTCACTACGAATCACTTATCCGTTGATTTATCCAGAGATTGTAAAAGTCGTTATAAATACTGAAATTCGAATTATTTTATTGTAAAAATAAAGAATAATGGATTCAGTTTAACACAAATGTGATTATTAAGTGATATTTCTTTCATCTCTTGTGCAACTGTGCACTTTTTGGCTACTGAAACAATAGTAATTATTTTTTTTTTAATGTTTAACCTTAAATCTCTTTTTAGTTATTGACACCTAAAAATAAATAATTTTAGAAAGACAATTTAGTAATATTTGAAATGCAAAAACAATAAATAGGGTTTTCCATTTAACTTTGTTATTGAACTTTAACAAACGCCTTCATTTTTTTATCTTTTCAAATGCAACACACCAAAAAAATGTTACAACCTTATAGCTTGTACCTTTTTCTTTGCAACAGTGAAAAAAAGATATTTCTAGATGTCTTAGTTTTTGTGTAATACATTTTTAAAAAGTGCATGTTTTCGTCAAAAAAACCGTCTTATTTTTAAAACTAAGCAAAATCGACCAATAAAAGATTAGCTTAAAAACATTATCATAATAATCTACATACTAAAACGCTAAGAAACATATGGTGTTTCATTGTATTGTAACTTATTTTTGAGACATGCTGTATAGTTAGAAATAATTTTAGGCGATGGACTAGATTAGTATCTATGAACAAAAACACGATTAGCTCGTCACAACAAACTTTTATTTAAAACAAAACTTGTTTTATTTTCACCTGAGGATGACCACTTTGTGGTTGAAACGCGTTGTGTTTTAAATAAAAGTTTGGTGTGACGGGCTAATCGTGTTTATGTTTATCGTTTCCATACCAAGAAGATCCAAGAAAAAGAAGATTAGTATCTATCAATGTCCTATAATTTTTTTTTTAATTTTACCATTTAAAAGTCACCTTTTCTACTCGCTGGGACACCCTATACTTCTTCGCCAGATAACCGACTATAGTATATTTTAAAGTGTTATTTTGAATTTCTTGCGATGATGCATCGAAATCATGGTGTCTTGTAAAGTCATTAGAGGATTTAGAAGCTTTCTCTCGTTTCTTCATTTATATTCTTGGTTTCCAAAACTTAATGATAAACGACTATCTTTTACTAATTTTAAAACATTTATTAGATGTCTTTTAAACTCTTGATGTGTAAAGTACATACATTTTGTAAATAAACACAAAAAAACCAGTAATAAATAAAGGATTTTTATTAAAAATGTATCACTAGTTGTTTCAGTTTAATTCTACAATTTACAACTTTACAAAGAACATCATTAAGGTGTATGGTTTAACTTCCACATCACTAGTCCAAAGAAAATTATAAGCATGGTCACAACGCGGAACACTTTAATGATTCATTGAAGTTCTAAGAAATAAAAAATGTTAACAAACATTTGTACGCTACCACCTGCGCACTGAGCCCTCGACTTCTCCCCCTTTAGACGTCGCGACGCTCGCAGGGCGCGGCCCTCAGTCTGCATAAGCTTGCCAATAATAACACATCTAAACAATTTTGGAATCTTTATTTTCATACAGTCGTAGTTTTTTTGTAAATATTTTTTGTAAATAACTCCACGAAATGGATTTAAAAGGTAAAGTCGCGCTCGTAACCGGCGGTGCATCTGGATACGGCAAAGAGTACTGCAAAGAGCTTTTCAAGCACGGATGCAAGGTAAGCATTCCAGATTGTGCAATTTTTAAATAACATTCGTGTCTTCAAGGTGTCTATTTGTGATATCAACACAGACGCAGGCGAAGACTTGCTCCACCAGTTGTCAAAGACTGCCAAAGATAGAGTGATTTTCTGCCCATGTGATGTAACCGATTATCCCCAATTCGAAGGTAGTTCTCTAATTACAACACAAACTATTTTTAAGTTCGATTCCGATTTTTTTAAATACATATTGTTAAAATTACCTAAAAAAATTCAAACTTTTCACTTTCATTAATTAAAATAACACAAAAATGTCCATTGCTCGTATCCTGAAGCAGTTTGGATTTTTATAAGCAAAAAATTCATCTTTAACCATTGTTTTGAATTATTCTTTTCCAACAAAATCTTTGAAAAAGTGAAAATTAGTATGTACATAAAAAATGATAAATAACATTCCAAATTACACTTGATTACACTTATTACAAGGTAGAAAAAAAAATGCATGTTTACTAACGTAGGCTACTCTTTGAACAAATTTTTCTTCTTTGTGGAACAATTCCTGTATTTAATCAAAGTCTTTATTTGATGGGCAAAAATAACTTTTTCAACTCTACCAGTAGATTTCCTTTACTTGTGATCATTTTACCATTATTGAGTTGAGTTTGCTTATTTCTGACTTGTTGAGAAAAAGAAATTGAAATGGATGTGAACATATTTCTGATTTAATTTGCGATAACCGACTTATCAGCAAAATAAGATATGTAGATGATAGATGATAAATGATAGCAAAGTTGCATCTTTTAATTGATGAGGAAAACGTTTATAATTGTGCGTTGTTCTTGATTACATCTAAATATCGTTTCAAATCTATAAACAAAAAGGTAGGATGTTCCATAAACGTTGTACCAATAATTGTTTCATTTTTATACGACTCAAATAGAAAGTAAGTTTTTCCACCTTAATTTCAGAAAAGAAAGTGGCCAATTACCTTTCAGAGAAGTAAAAATTTTATCTCCCAAGAAAGTATAGTACGAGTAGATTACATACCGAAATGGGAATTTGATGACCAAGGCGCGAAGCGCCGAGGTTATAAATAAGCCGAAGGAAATGGCCACTTCCCAACCTAAACCTGATATTTCAAAATTACACTGTACTACAAATTAAAAAAAATGTCCTTTAAATAAAAAATCTGGTGTGAACATCACACGACTTTCCTTAGCCTACTTATTTGAAAAACATACTAATAACGACAATAATTTAGTGTAACCTTTGCGTTAGTGCCATTTGCCGGATTAACGAACACACACACAAAGTAAAAATAGTTTTTATAATAAAGTAGGGTCTGCTAAATTTGAATATGACCTCTGTTTAGTTGTATCACGTAAATTTATTAAAATAACATAAATAAATTACTTTTGACACTTTTATTATTTTATTAAAAACAATTATGTATTTTAACAATTTTAACAATAATCTTCTGATGTCTTTATTTTTTAAAGTGGATACAAAAAAAAAACTGTTTTATTTATTTTACGAAGCCATTGAAGTCCCTAAAATTAGTTTTTTCGGACTCAATAAAATAGTACGTAAAATCGTTATGTTATAAGGTAGCACTTTATATGCACTTTTTCCAGTCTTTAGAACCTCGAACATGACATTTAAGTGGTGTAGTTGAAGTATGAACATACATATGTAAATTAGTGTTCATCAAGGATACCACCCTTAAATTTCCTTTTATTCTATCAATTTGCATTGTGATGGTAACGAAAAAATGAAATTGATGACGCACAAGACTGCCGTCGCAAATACGATAATAATTATTTATTTACCCATAAATTATAATATTACTAAATTTATGTATTTTACACATGCATTTTTAAAAGCGTTGAAAAATTTGTTATTTTATGAAATTTTGTATAAGTTATTAGTCTACAAGTTTGAGTACCTGTAGTTGGTCCTGTATTTTTGGGATAGTCTAAAAGAAAGATTTATGTGAGAGGTGGACTCTAGTGGTTGAACAAAAAAATCCACTAAATGAAAAAGCGTATAACTTTTTGTATTTTATTGATTTGAAACCGTTCCGACTAAATCCCCCATTAGAAGTATTGGGAGTTCTAACAATAATATTTATCTAAAATTTTGTTTATAGCCATAATCATTTAGATTCTGCTCAATGAAAATATTTTCAAGATGGCAGCACTTCCGGTTAGACCGGAAATGGGTACCAACTTCGTTATTTTAAATAGAAAGTTATGTTTTTTATTGCGTTTTTGGATTACCAAATATACATAAATTTAACCGTTTTTGAAATATTTGACTTTTTTGATTTTTTTCCTCTCTAAAAATCGATTACTCAACCATTTTTAATTATTTTGAAATTGTATTTGGGCATATAAAAAAGAAAGGTCAGATCTTTTCTTTCATGTATTTATAATTGGAAAAATAATTAACAAACCTCCAAAATTTAAGGTTACGTTTGGGAAACTTCAAAATCCCGTAACTGGATTTTTTTCAAATGGAAGGCCCCAATTTTTCTTCACTAAATTAAAGAGAATTTGATTCTGCATTCCCTATACCTAAATTTATTGATTTCCAAGTTATTTTGACTTTTTTTTACAATGGAAGAAATTCATTACTATCTATCATTATTCTTTTCGTAAATACAAATTAAATTTATTTAATCTAAATCTGAATAACTCTTATATTCATTTTTTTTCTTATTTTTATGACAACCTGTGCTAAAGTTGCTAATGAATTTCTCACAATATCAAAAGAAATTACTATAACTTGAAAACTATTAAACATAGGTGTAGATCGAAACAGAACTGAATTCTCCCCCATTTAGTGAAAAAAAAATTGGGGTGTTTCATTTGGAAAAATTGAGTTAAGGGTATTTGAAGTTTCCTAAACGTAACCTTACATTTTGGCGGTTTGTTAATTATTTTTCCAATTATAAATACACCAAAGAAACTTGTCTTAATAAAATTACAGTCTTTGAAACAAATTTTTGTATAGTCATCATAAATTTGCCAAACACCCAATAAAATTTAGATAAATAAAAAAAGTTCTATTTTTTGTGACACTTGCTCATTCCATAATAACTACTGTCCCATATAAAGAAATATTAATAAATATTTCTTATGCACGTGTAACTAAAAAAACTGGGTAAAAATCTCAATATAGGTTGTACCTATCCAAAAGTCTAGAAACCATTTTTTGTTACGACGGATGCACTCCAGATAAGCCTTTAGGTCATCAACTCATCAAAGACAAATAACTTATCCTATTTATTATCTTATTAATTGAAATTATTTTTACGATGTAAATACATTTTCATGTTTATTAATTAGGAGAAATCAATGTCTGGTGACTATTATCATATTTTTTTTTAATATTTGTGAATTAAATACTGTTGCTGAACTAACAAATCGTCAAAAAGCACATAAAATGTGTCCGAGCTAAGGGGTATGAGTCTAAACTAAGGACGAATGACACTAAAATCGTCTGAAATGACATGCCTTCACAAAATTCGATAAGAAATCAAAATCCATATGTTGAGCCACTTAATTTTTTTTAAGTAAATTCTTTAATCTTTGGACACGGGAATGACATAAATTTAAAATTGATATTACACATAAATCATTTAGAAAAAAATTCCAAAGGCGATCGCTTCAAATTCTGTTTTTTTTAGGTGTTTTTCAACTCGATTTATTTTGCATTTGTAAAACCTAATTTGTATTGAAAAATATATCATTCCACGAAGAAAAGTATAAGCTTTCAAATGCCGTTTTCGAAAATTTATTTTTTGGCAAACTCTAGTCTTATCGAATTAATTGAACGCCTTATGCTTTACTACACGGGACAACCTTAAGGGTATTTGAAATTTCCTAAATGTAATCTTCATTTTGGCGGTTTGTTAATTATTTTTCCAATTATGAATACACCAAAAAAGATCTAACCTTTCTTTCTCGTATATATGGTAGAGTTATCGATTTTTGAATAGAAAGACTCAAATCCAAAGAAAATTAAAAAGGTCTAAATATTTAGAAAACGGTTAAACTTAGGTATAAGAAAAAAAAATGAAAACTGTTTAAAAATGACTTAAGTAATCCAAAAATGCAACCTTTCTATTTAAAATAACAAAGTTGATATTCACTTCCGGTGTAACAGAAAGTGCCACCATCTTGAAAATATTTTTACTGAACAGAACTTAACCGATTACAATTTCTTTATCACGTAGTTTATTTTTTATTGAATTCTCATCCACTTGTAAAAAATGCACATTTTTCTTCTTCTTTGCCGAAGAAACCGAATTTGAACCACTCAATGTACACCTTTTTTAATAAACCAAATGTTGCAGAGGCTTTTCAAACGACAATTCAGAAGCTCGGAGGCGTCGACATTGTTATAAACAGTGCATCGGTGATGAATGACCGACTTTGGGAACTGGAAGTAGACGTCAATTTGGTATGACACCAAACTCATTTAGCCCCAAATTAATTCGAAAATAAATTACAGAACGGCGTAATCAGAGGTTTGCTTCTGGCATTCCGTTTCCTAGGACGAGACAGAGGCGGCCCGGGAGGCGTCGTGGTGAACACAGGTTCCAGTTGCAGCACCCACCCTTTTGTCTCTTTGCCGGTCTTCACGGCCACTAAGCACGCGGTGGCGGCTTTAACCCGTTCATATGGAGATCAATATCATGTCAACCTAACGGGGGTCCGTGTGGTCGCTTTATGTCCTTCGCCCACTGAAGCCGCGCTTTCGGGGGATCCTCGTAAAAGGATTCTCAGTGGGGAATACGAGCAGGCCTGGCAGAGGGATATCAGCAGTACATCGGCAATAAAGTGAGTAAGGAGACCACTCTCCAAAACCGAAATCCTCCTCTAGACAGAAAGGGTTATTTTATGTTTTTTTGGAGTGGTGAATGCGATTTGAAATCCGATTTAATTTTAATTGAGCAGATTTTAAAAATGTTGATTTTACAGTTCTGAAAATGGTTTTTCTTGATTTGTTTTGAGTGTTTTTGTTGTCATTTTCCTGTTCATAAAAAAGTAAAAAAGTGGTGTGTTTTAATTTTTTCACAGAAACTAAATTTTAAACCGGTTTGTTTTCATCGATTCTACTTCTTCGAATAATTACATTTTTCAAGTACGAATATTTGATCTGAATACTTATTAGATTCCAGATTTTAGGCTTTTTGCCTTTTCACATTCTTTAAAGTCAAAACATTTTTTGGTGATTTTTGAAAAAAAGCTGTATCGTAAATTAGTGAAAAATGATCGTATTTATTAGATTTAAAAAATCCATTTTGAAGCTTCAAGTTTCTAGTTTTGAGATCTTTTGGCAAAAGTTTTTTCTGAACTACGGTTATCACGCAATCTTAAGAAATTTTGCGAGAAAAATGTTTTATAATTTTTTGTTTGTTTTTGGTTTTGGTCCACGGACTTGGAAATTTTTTTTCGTTAAATTAATGCATGGGCCGGATATTTTGTTTTTGCTTTTACTTTTTCATATTCTCTTGAAATATCTCGCCGAGATTTTAATGAAAAATGATCCTTTTAACTTTGATCATCGATATCTCAGGAACCAATGACCGCACAGAAAAGGTAAAAGTAATTTCAAAAACAGGAATAAATCTCCTACAAGATCCTTTTTTTTTGAAAAAAATAATTTAACATTGGTTTAAAAAGAGAAGAAAATATCTTCTTTCATTCTTTTGGTAAATTTATAGCATATTCACTGATGGGGAAACTTTTTACAGCTAAATTTTTAAATCGATCTATCAAACCGTTTTCTCGAACCAATTTATCAAAGTTTTAGAAAGAATTAAAAAAATAAATAAATGTACTCTTGTACCTACATATTGTTTCTTCATCAAAATAAAAAAAACATTTTTTTCAAGCTTTGCTCAATTTTGTATTGAATTGAAAATATTAGAAAAACAACCTTAATTATGGTCTCATTATCTATTATTCATGTTTAGATTATTATCAATCTAAATATAAATTACAAAAAATACAAAATTAGTGCTCTCGTTTTATTTACAAATTAAGAAATTTTGACCATGTATCTCAAAAAATTAAAACAACTTATTACTACTATTATTTATTACTGCCCTATCTCCGTGAAATATTTCATTCAAGAAAAAGTTGTCATCAAATTTCTCTTCGTAATATTGCTGACCTGTCATTACCAAAGTTTAAAACAGCAATATTTAAAAGATCTCTCTCCCACAACACAATAAAGTTATACAATTCTTCTCATTTGTTTGAAGAAAAACTTTGAGTGAACAATTTTCGCAAAAAGATAAAAATACATTTTTAAACTTCTAGTTTTTTACTTTTGCTTTTTGTTAGTTGCTTATTGTTTTATTCCCTGTTATTTTTTCTTAAGTAGTTTTTTTTTAAATTTTAGTTAAACTTTAATGCAATTTTTCATTTTTATTAATTTACTTTTCTGTTAATTTGTTTTACTGTTATTTCTTTTTTTTCTTTTTTTTTGTTAAGGGGTTTAAGTACGAATAGCAGTTGCTAAACTTCGCCTCTTGATTATTTATTTACTTGTACGTACAATTCAATAAAGCCGCTTTATTGATATTATTATAATTAATAAGTGTCCTTTCATTAAAAAAAAATAGAGAAATTAGTGAAATGTGAAAGACTGTTAGCAAACTTTCGAAAAAAATGCTCAGAAGATCCAAACTTTATTTACACAGTCTTCTTGACGAATTTTCGAGCTTTGCTCTTGTATCTGACAAACTATTAATATAAATAGTCAAAAAAATCCGATTCTTCTTTTGACGTCTCTACTACTGTCTCTTTAAATCTTTGTACAACTACATAAACTCACCCTGTATACAAAATTTTGTCGGCACTTGAAATTTTTTTCGAAGAGATTTATTAATTACTCGTCCTTTTACTTTTATAAAAAATTTATAATATTTTTTTATACATATCTATATGTATTTTATATATTTTTTAAATAAAATGTTGTTTATTTTTATATCTAAATGTTTTATAAAGTTAAAAAAATAATGTTATTGGATAATTTTAGGTTTGAAGCTAAATGATAACCCAATTGTCAATTCTTTCTAAACACTGGTATTTTTTTAATTTGTTTGCAATTCAGAATCAATTACGCTTACCTCAATTATCTCACGGATATGATCTGTTAAAGAGCAATTTTTTATTCGCAAAAATTGATTTTCAGTTCAAAGTCTTTACATTCCATTAGAAATTTACTTTCCTGATACTCGAAAATGTAAATTAAATTTTATTAATTAAACATGCAATGATTTTCTAAGATGGAAGAGCATCAACAACTTCAGACAAATCAAATTTTCGTAATATGGAATTTGAAAAAATTTTATTATATGAAAAAGTAAGATCCACAAAAGCAAACAGGTTCTAAATTTAAATTCTGCATTACTTTTGTCTTTTTTCATGAACAATATAGTGTAATATAAACACTCGAAAAAAAAGGCCACCTTTAGAACACCAGAAAACAGCCAGAACATCAACAAACATAAAGTAACTTTTTTTGTCTAAAGGAAAACCAAAAAAATTTGGGAAGTGTACAAACAGATCGATTTTATGACGCTGTTGTACTTAGGGCCGAAAATTTGGGAAAAGCGTTGATAGAAATCATCCAAAAGGCGCCTAGTGGTTCCAGCTGGCTGGTGGAAAATTCGACGCCTCCGAAAGAAATTGTTCTATTTTCATAATTCGTTTTTTTTATAATCACACTCATTGGGCAAAATTATTATCTTTTATAGCTTCGCAACGCCATTTCATGTGTCATTTGATATAGCCATTACATAGTTAATCCTAAATGCTTGTACTATAACAGCATGATTCAGGTTAGATGTTAGTCGATGAAATTTTATTTCAAAATTATATCATCGCATTGTTTGTTATAACTGCTAACAGCTGAAATTTTTATCTGATTATTGTTTTTATAAAAAATCTAAGAGTGGAACTCAAAATTATTATTAATTGTATTGCTTATTGACTTTATAAAATGATTGTAACTTTTTTTAATAAACTGGGTTGAAACCCCATGATTTTTTATTTACTTTCCTTTCTATTCCTAAGACATTTTTACTGTTTTCTTATTGAAAACAAAAATACCTTTTACAAACATTTTTTGGATGTTTTGCTTCAAGGTTTTGGTCAATTTTACTACAGTTGAAAAAAAAACTGTTAAATCTAGAGGGTGCTGAAAGAAATGTAGAGATAATTGTGAATATTATGCACAACTAAAAAAAGGGTCCAAAAATTAATTCTTGTAGCCACTTTTTTGACCCATTGAAACAAAAACTACTAAAAGGATTTTTTGTGTGACAAAATTTCGATTTTTCAACTTCCAATATTAAAATTAAAGATAAAAAATCTTTGTTTTATTTGTTTTTTTTTTTAATAAAGAATATTAGTATTCATACATTTTTCCAGTTTTTTGTTGTCCTTCTTGGTCAATCTGTCTTTTTAATTAGTATTCGCCACTTCTTTTTTTTCTTTTCTTTTGGAAAAACCGAAGAGGGGATTTATTTTTAATGTTAAAGCGGCGCGAAAGAGAAAGTCTCCGATTATAATTCGATTTAATTGAAAAGAATTTGAATTAACTGGCACGGACAATATGGAATTGCACAAGCGCTCGATTCTGACATAAATAATGCGATTTGTTCTAATATTTTGCTGTTAATTACTCCACAAATTTACCAACTTTTCACATAAAATACTCACTATTTTGTAAGAACGCAATTATCTTTATTATTTATTCCCGTTACAACTCGGATAATAATTTACATTGAAAACTTTTGACAAATGACAGATTTAGAGCATATTGTATGACAGAATGCTTTAAATGCTTTATGGGAAAAAATCACAAAATGCTTCGAAGCATGCAACGTTCTTATACAACGCTAAACGGAAATTCTACTGAAATTTATTCAAAAGATAGGGTAAAATTGGGAGAGATGGACATGAAGAAAAAGAAACTACAACAATTATAGTTGAAAACAATAAAAAAACACTACTATACACTTTAAACTAAAATTTCAATAGAGTACAGTCACCGGCAAAGTTAATGTCGTACAGGAAGAAAAAAAGCGAAAAAAATATTAAATTTGAAATTATTTTTATTAAAAATTTTTAGATATTGTAAAAAATCTCTTAAGTTACCTAATTTTTTATTAATTAAAAACGCAAGATTGCTACTAACCTCGGCTTCGCCTCGGTAAATCAGTGCCATTTTCGCTGAAGTCCAACTTTTCGTAATTAATATTATTTAATTGTTGCCAAACTTTATACTTTATCGAGAGTTTACTGTCATTTTGAAGCGACAATGCTGCACTGACTGACATAAATGTGATAACAATGTCATTTATTCACTTTCTACTAAAATATTTATAGCAAATATAGGAAAATCATGTTTTGTCAAGTTCAATTAAAAAAATTAGAAACCCTTGTTCGGCTAGTGAAAACCATCACAAGATTTCATCACAGACAAGGCCCAAATCCAGTCAAAATTGTTTGGTAAGTAATTCCGACAAATCCAACTTGAATGTGACGCAATTTTAGTCCAGGAAAACCAAAACCTTTAATAGATTTCAACTGCAAAGTAGCTCTAATAACTGGAGGGTCCGACGGTATCGGCTTATGCGTAGCTCACGAAATCCTCGCCGAAAACAGCAAAAATGTCGCTCTTATTGGAGTGGATAACACCAAAGGACGCGAATCTGTGCACACTCTTAACTCAACTTACGGAAGAAATAAAGCGGTTTTCTTCAATTGTGATGTCCAGTCCAAAATTCAAGTCACCGGTAACCCCACTTGTCTTGCTCCTAAAACCTATAACCCAGTCAAATTAGACAAATCGGTGGAAAAAATCCTAAAGAGTTAAATTTTTTTTAAACGCTTTCTTTATACTTGGGTAGACATATATCAAAAATCCTCAAAGGTGTCTTTTTTTGGTTTTTTGCTTATATCTCGGAAATTATCACTCCTATAGGTTTTTCTCTTCTGATCAAAATTAAAGCTTACAAAATTTCCTACAAAAATGGTCCTTTGCATTTTTGTTGTAGGACTAACCGTAAGCGAGTTATAGGGCAGACAAAAATCATCATTTAAAAAATGTGCTTTATCTGCATTTAAAACAGAATTAGTCTTTTAAAAAAACTGACATTAAATTGAATTTACTGGGTCCAATACTTCATTAAAGGAAGAGGGAGTCACGAGGGTCTATAAATACAAACTCATCGTTTATGTAATTTATGCAGAATTTTCTGTAGAAGTCTATTTCTGCAACAAAATTTCCTACAAAAATTGTCCTATTCATTTTTGTCGTAGGACTAACCGTAGGCTTCAAAAGTTTGGAGTCTACATAAAATTGCATTAAAATACTTTGAAACACATTTCATTAGTTTATGGTAAGTATTTATATGTGTAGAGCGTTCCCCAACTAAGCTGGTCTGCCTGAAAGGTGACTCGGGTGTAAACATTTAAACGGAGATATAAAAAAAATTGGATGAAAGAGAGAATCAATCTGTAAGGGGGTTAAATGTTTAAACAAAGATATAAACATAACATTCTTTAGAGGTGTAAAGGGGCACTAAAATCAGATTTTTCGAAAATTAGTTTTTAAGGGAATAAAACGGTGTGCGCATTTAAAGGGATATAAAGACATTAAATTTAGAAAATATGATCCTTAGAGAGTCTAGAAGTGCACTTTTCTAATTTTAATGAAATAAAATAAAGTTTAAACGCTTAAAAACAAAATTAGAAACATGAAATTTCGAATTTTGAGAGTGCAGAAGTACACTGAGACGACACTTTATGAAAATCAACATTTAATATTTATCCATAAACATAGCCCATGCGAAGAACGAAACTACTATAACTGAATCCTATACATAACATAGGTAATTATCTAGCTTTATAGAGTACCTAAGCCTATGGAATGGTTTTGTGAACGGGCTTTTTCCCATTTTATATCAGAAATACACGCGGACAAAGTCGCAGGCAAATGCTAGTTCAGCATATAAGGATGACTCGGAAGACTTGATAGACCCTCGTGGCACCTTCTAATAAACTGTTGGATCCAATACATTCAATTTACTGTAAGCTTTATTCAAATCATCGATATTAAATCATCTGTTTATTAATATTGTACTGAACAAGACTGTAATTCGGTTTTCAATGTTTAAATTGAAGACGAAGATGCAGCATATGAGGACGACTCGGAAGACTTTACAGACTCTCTAATGAAGTGTTGCACCCAATAAATTCAATTTGCTTTCAGTTTTTCGAATCATAAGATTAATTCTATTTTAAATGCGGATAAAGGACATTTTTTTAAATAACCTTTTTTTGTCAGCTTACGGTTAGTCCTACAACAAAAATGCAAAGGACCATTTTTGTAGGAAATTTTGTAGGCTTCATTTTGGATAAGCAGGCATAAACCGTTAGGAGTAATAGTTTTCGAGATATAAGCAAAAAAAAACAAAAAAAGGCACCTTTAGCCCCCTCCCCCTCCTCGAGCTCGCCTCCCACCTTCGGGGACTTTTGATACATGTCTACCCGAGAATCTTTATTTAAACGCTTTCTTTAAAGCGTTTTAAAAAAATTCCAACTCTCTAGGCTTTTTTTCCACCGTTCGCCCTATTTTTGTCTAAATTTGACTACTATTAATGCAATATTTCTTAAAGATTGTTTCACTAAAGTACTGAAAGAGTTCGGGAGCATCGACGTAGTGATTAACGCCGCTGGTGTTTTTGACGGCCGCTGCTGGGAGAAAGAAATCATGACCAATCTTGTACGTTTCAACGCAAACTAAATAAAAGTAAAAATTCAGTTTTAGGTAGGAACAATTCATTGCATGCTCGAAGCGTACAAAATAATGAGCAAGGACGGCACCGGCAGTGGTGGAGTCATCCTCAACTTCTCTGGCCTCCACGGAGTCAAACCTCTCTTCCCTGCGCCAACTCTCTCGGCAACTCACCACGGAATTGTCGGACTTTCGAGGAGTTTCGGCCACGAAACCAACTTCAAAACCACCGGAGTTCGCGTCGTTACACTTTGCCCCGGAATCACCAACACCAACTTCATCAAGGATGCGGAAAAACGGGCATTGAACGAGAAAATGGCCAGTCAATTGCAAATACTTTTGTGTAAAGTCAAGAGACAGAAAGCCGATGCTTGTGCACAATCGGCAATCCACGTTTTGAAATATGGGTCGTCGGGGAGTGTCTGGGTGGTGGATGGGTCGAAATTGTACTCGCTAAATATCCCAGATTGGGAAAAATACCGAATTCTTGAATCACAATTAATGTAATAAAATTTTTATCTAGAGATCTCTTTTCTTGTGTCAAATGCACGGTAAATGTCAAATTACAAATAGTTAATTGGGAGAAATGGCTCTGTTTAGGGAATGTACGAAAAAAAATTTGTTACCGTAAGTGAAAATAGCACAATTTGTTAAAAAATTTCCCTAGACTCAATAGTGCGTTTCAGGGGTGTTCTAATTTGTCGATATTTTTGTGACAAAGCAAGAGTTAGAAAAACACTGTCTAAAGACTATTCACAGGTTATTAAACTATAGTTTATTGCTAAAAATAATTCACAATTCAGCAGGGAAGAACACTGAGTTTGGATCAAAATGTTGCGATAATAACCGGAGGAGCGGAAGGAATAGGATTAGCTATAGCTAAAGTTTTCTTAAAGTGTGGATTATCTGGACTTGCTATTGCAGATTGCAGCAAGGAAAAGGGGGAGGAATCCATAAAACAACTAGCTTGCGAATTTGGCGAAAACAAGGTTCTTTTCTTCGATGGAGACATGTCACAATCGAAAGCTTTTGATCGTAATTATTTTGAAAAAAAAATTAAACAATCGTCAATTCGCATGTTTCAGGAGTGTTTAAAGAAACACTGAAACATTTTGAAAATGTTAATATCGTTGTCAACAATGCTGGTGTAATGAACGATGTCAATTGGGAGTGCCAAGTCAATACAAATATGGTAATTTCCTGACACAAGGCGACAAAAAAGTCATGTCGTGACAACTTGACAAATTTCATTTTGTTCGTCTCAGTGAGACAAATCAAATGCACTAAAAAAAAATTAAAAAGGCCACACACTTTGAATAAAATATTTTTTTTCTAATTTAAATGAATTTAAAATACTTTAACTTTAAAAAAACATTACTCAATAACTATTAGGCCGATTTCCTTCAAATAAAGACCATTCTAAAGGGATGGCCTTGCCCTTTAGAATGATATAAAACTTGAAATTAAATATTGGCAAACTTTTCTTCGAACAGTGTTCGAAGTAAATCGAAGTAATCTAAGAAAAACCCTACGAATATTTTTTTTCATTATTACTATCGTGCAGAGCATCTCTTTATTAGTTGTAATCCAAATTTTCAAAAAAATATACCGAGTAGTTTTGAAGATATGATTTTTTGAAGTTAAGGTTTGCTAATCAAGCATTGCTCCATATATGTTAATCTTATTTAAAATTGCATTTTTATAAAAGTATTTGTTTTAAGACTCTTCTTTTGCTTAAAAATGGTCAATTGCACCTTCTTTGTTCTAATTACAATAAACAAAAACTGTTTGTTTACTTAAAACAAATGAAGAGTACATGCGTACTAATTAAAGCAAATAAGAAGTTTTTTTGTTGTAAAAATGACCACTGATCATTGAGCAAAGAGGATCTAGAAGTTTAAGGCACGAGCCTTAAATATAAGGGCAAATCTTTTTCAAATCAAATCACTTTCCATTCAGATTTCGACTTGTTCACTTTGTTCTAGCTTTCTGAACTTTTTTTGAAAATATTCTGAGCAAATGCTCACTTTTGAGTGATGTTAAATGCAATAAGTCACCTGATTTATTTTGTTGGTACATTCTACGATTAGCTTCAGTTAGCTTGTAGGTAGTAGTTGTTGTGATAAAAGTTGCACACGAAGCAACTGACTTATTGCATTCAACATCAATAGAAAGTGATAAAAAAGCATTTGCTGAGAACATTTTCAAAAAAAAGTTCAGAAAGCTAGAACAAAGTGAACAAGTTGAAATCTGAATGGAAAGTGATTTAATTTGAAAAAGATTTGTTCTTATATTTAAAGCTACTGCTTTAAACTTCTAGATCCTTTTTGCTCAATGATCAGTGATCATTTTTAGAACAAAAAAACTCTTTATTTGCTTTAATTAGTACGCAGGTACTCTTTGTTTGTTTTAAGTAAAGAAACAGTTTTTGTTTATTCTAATTAGAACAAAGAAGGTGCAATTGACCATTTTTAAGCAAAAGAAGAGCTTTAAAACAAAAACTTTTATAAAAATGCAATTTTAAGTAAGATTAACATGCATTTCTCCTATATGGCGCAATACCTGAATAGCAAACCTTAACTTCAAAAAATCATATCGTAAAAACTACTCGGTATATTATTTTAAAAATTTGGATTCTTACTAATAAAAAGATGCTCTACACAATGGTGACGAAGAAAAAAAATTACTCCTAGGGTTTTTCTTAAATTACCTCGATTTACTTCGAACTTCTTCGAACACTGTTCGAAGAAAAGTTTGCCAATATTCAATTTAAAATTGCATATCATACTAAAGGGCAAGTCCTTCCCTTTAGAATGGTCTTTATTTGAAGGAAATCGGCCTAATAGTTATAGAGTAATGATTTTTTAAAGTTAAAGTATTTTAAATTCATTTAAATTAGAAAAAAATCAATTGATTCAAAGTGTGTGGACTTTTTGAAATTTTTTTAGTGCATTTGATTTGTCTCACTGAGACGAACAAAATTATATAAAATTTGTCAAGTTGTCACGAAATGACTTTTTTTTGTCGCCTTGTGTTATTATTAAACTAACGGTTCAGAAAGAAGGCAAGAATGTATTTTTGCAGTCTAGTACCATAATTGGTACTTTACTTGGGATGCAGTACATGTCGAAGACTTCTCTTGGTCAAGGTGGGACTATTATTAACGTGGCATCCATCATGGGTCTCATTCCGTCTTCTGGGTACCCCATTCATACATTGACACAATTTGGAATTGTTGGATTTTCGCGAGCTATTGGAAATCTCAATCACTATGATCGTACTGGTGTTAGAGTTACTGCTCTTTGTCCTGGTTTGACAAACACAAAATTGTTGAAACAAGCTCCTTATCATGCCATTAATGATAAATTTCGAAAGGAATTCAAGGAGGAATCTGGTGGATGTGTTTTTCAAAAGCCGGAGAGTGTGGCGTTGGCAGCTTTGGACGTTCTGCAAGATGCCCTTCCGGGATCGGTTTGGGTGGTGGAGAATAATAGTAAACCGTATGAAATTAGATTTCCGGAAGTTGCTGATTTGAGATTTAAAAATAAATGCTAAATTGATGTTTAATGCTGAATAAATTGAAATTAAGCGACACTTCATGAGCCGAAGGCGAAATTCTTCCCATCTCGCTTTCGGTTCTGTATTTCCTGCTGTCCTGTACAGTTTTCATGGAAAACAAGTATGTTTTCTGACTTACTAACAAGTACAACAAAAGAAATTTTCTAATTTGAATGCACTGTTAAAATGCAAGAAAAGTAATCTTCCCTAGGACGTTTATAAATGTTTCTGTTTCTATACACAAGTTTTTTGGGAACAAGTTAAGTGCACAGTATATTATTTAAACGTCGAGTATTTTTGTTCAGTAAAAAGAATAAATGCACAATGAACTAATAAAGCACAGTAAAATAATAAATGCAGTAATAGTATATTTTAAGCATCAAGAATATTATTTAAAGGTCGAGTATTTTTGTTCAGTAAAAATAATAAATGCACAATAAACTAATAAAAGCACAGTAAAATAATAAATGCAGTTATAGTATATTAAGCATCAAGAACGGTAAGAACATTTTACCGATCGAAGACAATTGTTTCTCTGAGATCTGATGCTTATAACATTTTTTGCGCGATTGATTTTTATTAGTTTTTTTAATAAAATATCTAAAAAATGTTCTAGAACGTTTTTGAATACTTACCGACTTAGCAGCAATAAATAAATAACTTACCGACTGTCTTGGAAACAGACGTAGTAAAGAATCAAATAGAGTTCAATCGCGCAAAAAATAATAAATGCACAGTAAAAATAATAAGCTATTAATAATATTATATTAATAATAAGCTATTATGTCAAGAGTTTTTAAAATAAAACTTTTGTGGTCTTTTTTTTCAACACTAATATTGAATCATAAATTTTACTAAACTCAGAAATTGTTATAAATAAATTTTTCGAAATAATGTTAAAATATACTACAAAAAATTAAAGGAACAAAAAATTTTCCAAAATTTTTTGGTGATTTTTGAAATGCTGTAACTCAACGAAAAATCGTCGTATCTAGATTTTAAATAAAACCATTTTGAAGCTTTGAGTTTCTAGTTTGAAAATTTTTTGGCAAATATTTTTTCTGTGCTACAGTTTTCACGCAATTCTAATAGCGCGAAAAAAATTACAAATGTTTATGTTTTTGTTTTTGGTCCACGGACGAGGAGATTTTTTTTAGTAAGTCAATTTATAGGCTGGGTGGCATGTTTGTTTACCTTTAATATGCTTTCTTCATATTCTCTTTATGACAATTTTTCGCTGAGATCATGGATATCTCAGCAACCAATGACCACATAGAGAATATAAGGGTAGTCTCAAAACTGGAATAAATGTCGTATAAGATCCTCTTATGATTTTTTATAATTTTTTTTCACCTTTAACATTGATTTAAAGAAAAGGGATAAAAATAAGTTTTTACGTTGTTTTATTAAATCTACCGCGTATTCACCAATATTGTTGGGGAGACTAATGTTTTTAGGTGTTTTTACAGATTAAAGTATTCTTCACAGCCCTGCTCATTTATAAATCGATCCATCAAACCGTTTTCTCGGACCGATTCATCAAAGTTTTCCAAAAAAATTAAAGGAACAATTGCACATTTTGTTTCTGAACATTGCCTAATCTTCATCAAAATGAAAAAAAATCATTTTTTTTAACTTTGTTTACAATTTTAGTTATTTGCTAAT